ATAATAATATAGATCCTTAGGTCTATCTAATTGCTTTCCTTTTCTCTGATTTCTTATCGCACACTAAAGAACAAATTAGGAGCATAACAGAATTCTCAAGTGATTGCTTGTCTTGTTCCCTTGTGTGTTTAGTCGTTTAGTCATGTCCCACTCTTTGTGACCCCATGGACCAGAGCATGCCAGGCCCTCCTGTCTTCCACTGCCTTCTGGAGTTGGGCCAAATTCATGTTGGTAGCTTCAATGACACTTGTAGCTTGTTCCCTTACTGTTCCTCTAAGACAGCCCGATCTTTCTTGTTTCAAGTATGTGGTGTTTGATGCAATTTTTGAGACTTACATGCTTGTTACAGAGTTGCACCGTCTGTGTTTCATCAGGGTCTTGACATACTTCTAGTGGATTATTAACCTTCTGTAGATTTCCAAAAGTGATTGGGTTGTATTTAAATCCTGCAAGAAAGAGAGAACCACATTGTTATAGGCACTAAACATTAAACAAACCACCTCATTTATAACAGTCCACCTTTCTCCCTTAGTCTTCAGGCATCTTGGTGATTGAAAAGAAGGGTTGATTAGGAGTAGGCAGGGCTACACAAGTCAGTTTTTTAATACTATACAGCTAATTTAGGAAGCACTAAGAAGCAATAATGCAATAGAATATATGTTATATTATTCTTGTTATCCAAAATTTATATCATCTAGTTTTGCTCTCATAATCATTAGCAAAGATTTCAAGCAAATTTCAACATTGCATAGTACATTTATTCACCTAGGTATCTATCTAGACCTTGAAATGTTTTCAATTGCACAACTTTTTTGTTCATATCTGCAAAGATTTATCAAGGTATAATGTGGATTGATTTCCCCCCCTACATTGTCAATCCAAGTTCACTGGAGAATTCATGAATCTGTCCTCTTAGTTTTTGATGCGTTGGAAGCAGTGTGCTATCACAACTTGTAACATGAATTTCAGCAGTCATTCTTACATATATATGTTAACTGGGAAAATAGATTGCTCTTAAGCCTTCTTGACTAAATGAACAAAGTAAAACATAGTCTTTAATGATATTGATGACACAATTCAGAACCAAAAATGTTTTCTTTAATACAGCTTTTACTTCACATGTGCCTTATGTGAAGTAAAAGCTATATTTTACTTCACCCTTAAAAAAACAACTATAATCTTAGAGACATGCATTTCTAATCTGTCTGTGGATTTCTAACAGCACAGTATTATAAAGTACTGCTTGACTGTGACTTCTACATTTAAAGTGGTCATACTGTATTTTGTAAGGGATAACTAGAGAGGTAACTAGTGGGCTGCCTCAGGTTTCTGTTCTGGAACCTGTGCTGTTCAACATCTTTATGACTTGGATGAAGGAATAGAATGCTGATTAAATTTGCAGATGATACCAAATTGGGAGGGGTTGGTAATTCCCCAGAGGACAGGTTTAAAATTCAAAATGATTTTGACAGATCAGAGTCCTGGGCCAAAACTAACAAAATGAATTTCAACAGGGAGAAATGTAAGGTCCTACACCTAGGTAGAAAAAATGAACTGCACAGATATTCCCCTGTGAAAGGGATCTAGGAGTCTTGGTAGACCAGACCAAAAACTGAACATGAGTCAACAGCGTGATGCGGCTGCCAAGAAAGTAAATGCGATTCTTGGTTGCATCAATAGAAGTTTAGTGTCTAGATCAAGGGAAGTGATAGTACCACTCTCTTCTGCTTTGGTCAGGCTTCACCTGGAGTATTGTGTCCAGTTCTAGGCACCTCAATTCAAGAAGGATGTTGACAACCTGGAACGTGTCCAGAGGAGGGCGACTAATATGGTCAAAAGTCTGGAAGCATTGTCCTACGAGGAGTGGCTTAGGGAGCTGGGAATGTTTAGCCTTACAAAAAGAAGGTTAAGAGGGGACATGAAAGCCATGCTTCAATATTTAAAGGGATGTCATGTTGAGGAAGGCCAGGTTTGTTTTCCACGGCTCCAGACACTAGGGCAAGGAGCATTGGTTTCAAACTACAGGAAAAGAGATTCCACCTGAATCTCAGGAAGAATTTCCTGACAGTCAGAGCTGTTTGGCAGTGGAATAGGCTGCCTCAGAGTGTGGTGGGGTCTCCTTCTTTGGAGGTTTTTAAGCAGAGGCCGGATGGCCATCTGTTGGGAGTGCTTTGATGGAATTTTTGCATGGCAGGGCATTGGACTCAATGGCCCCAATGGTCTCTTCCCACTCTGTGATTCTATGTCTCTGTTGTGTTTTTCTACTCACCACCAGAGATAAATTCATTGTAGATCTGCTGGCCATTGTAATCTCCACACAGACCACATGTGTTGTTTTGAAACTTACTGTCAAGTTCAACCTAAATCGTAAAAGTAAAATGACAGAGAATATGTCAACAACTACAACAACAGAGCATGTACAGTTGCCTTATACTGAGTCAGATCTCGGGGCTACCCAGCCTATGCTGGCTACTCTAACTACTGTAAAAGTAGTGCTTCACTGTCTCAAGCAAAGATCTTTTCCATATCTGCCATCCAAAAGCCTTCAGCTAGACAGGACATAAGTTTGATTTGGGACAGCATAAACTTATTCATGCACTGCCTAACCAATAGTATTGAGCCATACGCAGACTATAGAAGAGCATTAATAATCCCCCACTCAGGAAAGTACACACTTGCTGGGCATTCCTAGGTGTGGTCATCCAAAAAGGTAACTTTTCTAAGGTCTGGCTGTGGGCTTCTTGTGTCAGGACTAGGCACATATATATCTCAATTTGCCTCATCCCTGTTGGCAAGCAGAAGGCAAGGGAGGATTTACATCCCTAATCCTGGTAAAGGAAGTCTATATCCAGAGAAGTTACCTTTTTGGATTACTCCTCTCTGAGATTACAATTGCGACAACAATGAGGAAGTGTACCATTCATCTTTCAACCAGTGAAGATAGTATGGAATTTTCTAGAACTCTAAACAGAATGATGTTTTGTGTAAAATGGCCACTTCTTGAACACTGCATATGTGACACAATTGCACTGTTATCCAAAACTGGGGGGGATGCTACTTTTTTAAAAGAATTTGAAGCCCTGGATGGTATGTTTGCATCTTTTAAATCCATCAGCCAATCCTTCTGTGCTTGTTGCCTATGGATTTTGCTTCCAAAGCAGAAAAGACACTGGAGATTCTTTGTGGAAATCACAGGGAACTGGTGATAAGGGTTTTAAAAAAAACCTTGGCTAGAAGCAAACAATTTCGCAAAGGATGAAAATTACTCAACAAGGTGTCTCATCTAAATAAATGATAAATGTTAATTCAGTAAGTATCCTTAATCAAGACTACTATGACAAGCAGAGCAATTGTTTAGATAAAACACATAATGGATTTGAAATAAAGGAAAGAGAAAAGCTTTTTCTGGAATAAGTTATGAATTTTCAACATGGCAGATGCTGATTTCCTGACGCAAAGCATTTCTGAAATATAGTATAGAGCAACATCCAAATTCTAACAAGAAGTATTATTACCAATATTCCCACTTCTTCGGTACCATGTTCTGAGCCATCAAAAGCCAGAGCGAGAACAAGATTTTGAGCTCATTTGGACATAAGGTGGACTCAGCTTTTGGGATTGCACTTAGATATATTAGACTAGAATCCCCACCACCCCAAGGATTCACAGCCATGCAGAAAGCACCAGGTACGGGTGGGCTCCAGTATAATATCCAAAAGGTATTGTTAGTATTCTATGGTTGAGGAGCAATCACTGAGAATGCTTGTCTACTTTGCCTTGACATCAGCTGGCACAAGGGCAGAACTTAGAAGATTTCCCCAGAACCTCACTGACTGTGCCATCTAGACGACTTGAGAGAGTTACTCTCTGAAAAATAACTTTCCCAAACTATGTTCAGGAAGGTGTTGTTAGATGCTCTTAGGTAGTAGCCATGAATTTAAGGAAGCAATCTCTTACAGGTTTTGGATCTGAGACACTGAGCCTATTTAAAACAACAGTCAGATGTGACACCTACCATCAAGGCTTCCTCTTTGTTCCATATGACAGTCATACCCACTCTGGCATAGACTTTGATAGTCATGTCATTCTTCTCAATCAGAAGACCAGAATGATGGTAAGGCGTTTTTGCACTGTAGAAAAAGAAATAACACAAAGTTGGCAGCAAATTACATTGAATGCAAGATCTGTATCATTAAACAGAAAGTTTTTTTAAAAAAAACACTGTATATGTAGAATTCACATTCTATTTCTATCTGTTTTCCGGCCCTCATGTAAAACAACAGACAATTTGCTCAAGTACAGAAGAGAAAACTTTATTTATATGGAACAACATGCTAGCTATATTTAATAAGAATAGGTGGGGGGAAAAGCAGGGGAAATGTTATTTGTATTCTATTATAGTTTACCCATTTCTTCTTAATTTCCACATTCAAACTGGAAACTTAAGAAAATAAATGGTCACATTTCACTTTTCTTTTAAGAAATACTCTTTTCCCCAGATGTTTTTGCCTTAAATTTTCCATATGTAGTACAGCTGGATAACTCAGTGATTGGCTGTAGAGCCAAGAGGTTGAATCCCTACTCTGCCTCCTTGACAGCAATTGGACCCTATGATCCAACTTCCAGCTGTGCAGTTCTAAGACTATTTTTATTTATTATTATTTTTTAAAAAATCCCTTAAATGACAAGAAAGCAGGATATGTCCTTTAAATGTTGTCACGTAGGTCATTTTGCTCATTTTAGAGGCTTAGCTGCAGAAGAAAACCTTAGTGAATCTAAGAGCAGTAGAACAGGTCACATTACAGGAAAAAAGGGAAAAAACATTCAACATGGGAAGGAATTATGCTGTCTTAAACCAAGTATACAATATTTGGCACGGATTTAAATTGCTATAATGTCCTTCACAATGTAAATTATTACTTGAAGAAGAAAAGGGGTATAATGCCCAGAATTCCTTTCAGTTACCCAGAGCTGGGAAAAACAAAAGGCTTAGAAGTAACTAGTTGCTTGCAGTTAATTACTATTTCCATAACCAAGACATAACCATTACAATAGTAATATAAGAAGGAATAACTTCACACCTCTTGCAGTTTAAATGTACATATTTTGCTTAATTCTAAACTTATGGGGTGTAGCCTTACTACCTTGATCTGTACCACAAGTTAGTTTTGTACCATCTGAGACATTTAGTTACATTTTAAAAGTAACTAAGAGACACTGTTGACTTCTTTGACAAATGAAGAAACTAAATCAATGCTTTTTCAAAAATTGTAACTCTAATTCTTTTTGTAACACATTACTTTTGTATTTCGATGTAACTGCAGTTACATTCCTTTTTAACTAGTTTTCCAAGGTCTGGGAAAACCAGAACTTAAAAGAAACTAGGAAAACCAGACCACCCATTCATTTTCCCAAGGCTTAAACAACTGTAGAGCTGTTAATATGTCATCTTCCTGCTTCATAGTAAGCATCAGCAAGAATAAGTCTGCTGTAGTGTCCATCCAGGTGTAAGAGAGAATCTCTTAACAGACTTGGGCATGCTCAGGATGTATAATGAAATAGAAAAAAGTCAAGACAGACAGGCCCAAGGATATGGCTAAGACATCTTGATAGTTCTGCATCCATCAGATGCAGTTGGTGCACCTTTCTTCTACAATGCAAGATGGGACTGTAATATAGGGCACTAAGAGGAAATTATTCAAAATTATAACCAGATTTTATTGTTTTTCCAGAAGACAGTTTCAGTTTCCAAAATTCCTCAAATGGGTTTGCTTGAGCTGGAATGCTCAGGTTTACATCATATTTTGCTATAGCTAAGAATTATTGACTGTGTGTGGGAAGGAGGAAGATATCTTTAGAGTTGCCACTGGCCTGGTTAAAATGCCTTTTGACTCCTCTGGAGATTCTTCAGATCTTTCACCAGAACTAAAATTTTGTGTTCAACCTTCCTTTGCTTAAGGCCAAGGTGGTTAAACTACTTTTGAGAGCATGACTTGAGTTTCTACCCAATCCAATTTGACGAGGGGAAATTTGTGCTCATATTAAGAATACAAGCCAAGCCATGCTAGATCAGAGCAGAGGTCTCTGTAGTCCTGCAATCTATTGTTACAACAATCAACTGTGATAACTCCAAGAAGGATGTGGACAGAGTAACACCCTTCCAATTGACCTCTTCACAGGCATATTGCCCCTATACTGAGAACCATATATCAGCAGCATAACTAGTCCTATGAGTTTTGTGTGAAAGGTTCCTGGCCAGAAAACTGTATGTTTGGTGTATAATATCAGAAGAACTCACATTTGCCCGTTCACCACAACCACAGAATGACTGAGTTGGATTGAAACATCCTTAATTGTGACAAGAACAAATTGGATGTCAGGGTGCCCTTGGCTGTTCAGTTCACGCTGGATGTGAATGGAGAATTCCTTGTATGTATCTCGGCAGTCAGACACAAAGTTGTAATCACAGACACCAGGAAACTGGTAAAAATCACCGTCAAAGGTTTTGAAATGGTTGTTCCCCCAGGTACTGCAGACATACTGGCCATGGCTAGGATCTCTTCCTGTAGAGATGAAGAATGAGGATAAAGTAACTCTTAAGTGCAATTTAAGTGTGATTGTGGAGCAGAATTGACTTATGCCATTCAGTTAAAATAAGCTATAAAATTCCAAGGGCCTCTGAAGGGGAAGAGGTCACTGGTATCAAATGTCCTCTTAAAATTTTGGCATCTCACCTTCACAATGAGAGATTGCAACATCTCATATAATGTGTGCATTTGCACTATGAAAAGGACACACTAAAGTTCTCAGTCAACATTGCTGGTATAACAAGTTGTGGCATAAAGCCATGCAGCGCAGGGACCTTGGGGCACAAGGAGCATTGCCTGTTAGTTCATCATGCAGTTACAATGGCTAAGTATCTATTTATGTCTCAGACTGATACAGGGCATGAAAAAAAATTGCTGGAGGCTTTTGAGTCCAGTTACTCCAACCTCTATAGAATTTTCTACATATTTATATTTTTAAAAAATCAAAGTTTCCTCTTGATGACACAAAGTCAAGAGGATGCTCATAAATGATAATGCCACTTGGCTGTCCTTTTCACAGAAAGGCAGTTCTGCCCCATTTGAGGCCTCATGGCATTTGAAGGTGGGATTCAGAAGCAGCTGAATAGTTCTGAAAGAGTTGTCCATGTATTCTGATACAACCTATTTCTCAATCTGTTTCAAAGACACTGATATAAGATTCTCCATGCATTAACCCTGCTACCATATTACTGTAGATCACCCAAAATAGCTTCTAGTATAAGCAAAGAGAAGGAGCATTCAGTTCTCACTAGAGATCATGCCTTTCATATTCCTTAAAGCATTTTTAGTTAGACGAGCAATCCAAAACATAGGCTTGTTGTGCGTTACCAAAACCCATGGATGTTCTCCAGGCTTCCCCAGTGCAAAGCATCTTCTTTAGAAGACTTACCTTTTTTAATTTCACCTGCATAGCCCACAGCCAGCCATAGTGTCAAAAGGATGGTCACCCTTAGCCCCATGGTGGCTAAGAAAGTAGGACAGAAGCCCTACGAAATCTTGGCTTTATATAATGCCCACTATGCAGTTCAGGTCATCATGGGGGTGGAGATTGAAAATGAACTGAAGGAGTGGTCAGAATAGGTACAATGTTTGTGCAGATTAGAAAGTAAACAGAGCTGAGAATTTCAATGTGATACCTGTATGCCACTGTTCAGGAAATAGCAGAATAATGCTTCGGATATCATGCAATTGTCTTTTTTTATTGTCATTATAATTGTTGCCAAAGGATGCAAATCTTTCCTGAGTCACACATTAGTTTAAGGTGTACTAGCCCCAGAAAGCTGTTGAGCAAATATCAGAAGACTCCCTTTTGAGTGCAACCTGAGATTCCTCCAATTCCTTTTCATACTTTTTTACTGCTCCTGAGGAACCAAGACAGAGCTTTTTGAAGAAGACATCCTTTACCCTTACTTGACAGTCAATAATATATTATAAATTATTTACTTCTGGGACCCAAAGGGATTATGCAAGTTTTATTTATTTATTTATTGTATTTATATCCCGCCTATCTAGTCAAATGACCACTTTAGTTAATTTAGGAAGATCTTATATGAAAATTATTAAAATTCCTCTGTGCCAATGGTATCCTTTTTTAAAAAAAATTAACAAACAAGACTTAAATTGCAATTTAAGTCAAGCCTGGTTCCTGAGAATGGCTAGACTGGCCATTTGACAGGAACCCAGACCTGAGAACTCAAGATTGGCCAAGGATGTTCATTCCAAGATTGCTAGCATTCTTATTTCACACGGAGCACCCAAAAAAGGTGAAATATTTTAATCTATATAGCTCACATCTTCCAGAATAACAGACAGCTGTGCCATTCCCGAGGGTCATAGAAGTATATACCTAGTTCTGTCCTGGGGTATCCCTTTTGAAGAACCAGGAAAAATGCAAGCTGACAAGGTTCTTGTGGAGGGGAAAAGATGTTGTTAACTTTAATATGCAAGGCTCCTTTGTTGTTTTCTAAAGCCCAGAAATCTAGGAAAGGGGAAAATAACAGCTGTGTAACAGTGGGTATTAAAACAGATAACAAGAAAACCTGTCCTACTTCCTGCCTTTGAAATACGCATCCCATTTAGATACTCATAGCTCCAATTGATAATTTCCCACAAGGTTCATCATTCTTCGTGCCTGCTGGTTATATTCAACTAAATTAATATTATTCAGGTATACCTTATCAATGTTTGGTTTGCAGATATCATATTTATATCTGTTAATGACCAACCTGTGTATTTTATTGTGTGTATATGTGTGTGTGTCTTTTAAACGACTTCATGAAAACATAGAATAAATTGTGCAGGAAATAGCCAGAGAAAAAATCAGCCTCCTCACTAAGAACAAGAATATTCTTCTGCAAGTTGATGTATTATCAATTGCAGGAGCTTTAGTCTGTTTGCTGCTGGAGCAGGTCTCTCTAATCTGATGTCCATTAGATATTTGGGACTGCAATGCCCACCAAGGTCAGATAAACACAACCAATGGCAATGAATAATAGGAACTGAAGTCTCAATGGGTGGACAGCAGAGGAGACTGGGAAAGGCCAGGGGATGTGAAAAGGCAGACAAGTTAAGGAGGAGCCCCTCACAACCCCTGCAACAACTCACCCTCCCAGGGATAGCCTTTGATCTAGTTCTCACTCAACTGGTTAATGTCTGCCCAGACTAAAGAACTTCCACCTACAAGGCCGGGAATGCAATGCTAGTGTCCCAACTTGTGAGTTTTCTTATTGCAGAAATTCTGGCAGGAGCAGTGCAGGTCCTAGGCAGGAAATAAACCTCCAGTGGGCTGATACTGATCCATGGAGTAATGCAGAGTCTCTCCAGTCAGCTATGCTTACCTTCCCCTGTAGCATTTCACAGCCCTATCTATTTCCTGATCTCCGATTTTGACCCTGAAATGTCAGGCAGTAGGATGCTGCTGTTGTAGATCTTGGTGAAATAAAGGACCTTAAAGTCTTCTTTGTCTATTCTTGACTAAAATTTCTGTCAAGTATTCTGGCTGACAACTAATTGGCAGAGTCCCATACGTGTAAAAGACTTACCTGAGCCTTTCTGTGTATTTCAGTCGTCTTATCCTACTTGATCTAGGATCAAGTGTAGGATCTTGATCTAGGAACAAGTAGGATAATCGATAAGTTTATTCTGTGGGAGTAAATACAATTGGAAGACAGGAAAGAATGAGAAATTTTTCGATTGACTGGTTTCATGCACCTATTTATGTGTTCCCTCCTCATGAATTCCTATCATGTCAGAGGTGTCTACATTTTCTATGGTGAACATTCAGGCTTTGTGGCCTGTTGGAAAAGTATGGGAGTAAATATGATTGGAAGAGAAGAAAGAGCAAGAATGTATAATTCCATTTTGAAGACTCATTCCAAAATGGCATGGCACATGGCACAATCTGAAAAAAATGCTTTCATATTGCAACCTCAGTTAGCCCATCCATTTGGTTATGATATTACACCTTGACTAAGGATATATGAACACTCTGCTTCTGCTGCTTGTCAGCCAGCTGCCACCATTTCTCTGTAGAAATGTAACTAATCAGTTTGCAAAGTGAATCAATCAGGCAAAGTCAACAAGTTAACTCATCAGCAGATAAACCATTGAACTGAATAAAATGGTTTTATATACATGTTATGCAGCATCAGTTGCTGTTCAAATATTTGTACAAAAAGAAGAGGAAACATCAAGCTGTATCTGCGACACAAAACTGGGAAGCACTGTTAAAAAAACACATAATCCAATGCTATTAATTAATTAATATCCAATCATTTGGATAAAGTGGTACACTAATCATCATCATGTGCAATCAAGTTAATTCTGATTTATGGTGTCCCTTTTTCAGGGCTTTCCAGGAAGAGAATAGTCAGAAATGGTTTACCATTCCCTTCTTCTGGGAGTGTCCTGAGACTGTGCAGCTTACTCAAGAATACACAGGCTGGCTCTTCTCCTAGGAGGCAGAGTGGGGAATTGAACTCCCAAACCCTGGCTCTGCAGCCAGATACCCAGACCACTATCTAACCAGCAAACTGGCACACTCGTTAGATTTTGATTTTCAAGAAAATCAGATTTAAGGAGGGCCAATGCACAACATTGCACAACAATGCACAACACACACACACACACACACACACTACACTCAATATGCCAGCAAGTTTGGAAAACTCAGCAGTGGCCAGAGGATTGGAAAAGATCAGTCTACATCCCAATCCCAAAGAAGGGCAGTGCCAAAGAATGCTCCAACTACTGTACAATTGCACTCATTTCACACGCTAGCAAGGTTATGCTCAAAATCCTACAAGGTAGGCTTCAGCAGTATGTGGACCGAGAACTCCCAGAGGTACAACCTGGATTCTGAAGGGGCCAAGGAACTAGAGACCAAATTGCTAACATGCACTGGATTATGGAGAAAGCCAAAGAGTTCCAGAAAAACATCTACTTCTGCTTCATTGACTACGCAAAAGCCTTTGACTCTGTGGACCACAGCAAACTATGGCAAGTCCTTAAAGAAATGGGAGTGCCTGACCACCTTATCTATCTCCTGAGAAACCTATATGTGGGACAGGAAGCAAGAGTGAGAACTGGATGTGGAACAACTGATTGGTTCAAAATTGGGAAGGAGTGTGACAAGGCTGTATATTGTCCCCCTGCTTATTTAACTTATATGCAGAATACATCATGCGAAAGGCTGGACTGGAGGAATCCCAAATCAGAATTAAGATTGCCAGAAGAAATATCAACAACCTCAGATATGCAGATGATACCACTCTGATGGCAGAAAATGGGGAGGAATTAAAGAACCTCTTAATGAGTGTGAAAGAGGAGAGCAAAAAAAATGGTCTGAAGCTCAGCATAAAAAACCCCACAAAAACTAAAATCATGGCCACTGATCCCATCACCTCCTGGCAAATAGAAGGGGAAGATATGGAAGCAGTGACAGGTTTTACTTTCTTGGGCTCCATGATCACTGCAGGTGGGGACAGCAATCACAAAATTAAAAGATGCCTACTTCTTGGGAGGAAAGCGATGACAAACCTTGACAGCATCTTAAAAAGCAGAGACATCACCTTGCCGACAAAAGTCCGCATAGTCAAAGCTATGGTTTTTCCAGTAGTGATGTATGGAAGTGAGACCTGGACCATAAAGAAGGCTGACCACCGAAGAATGGATGCTTTTGAATTGTGGTGCTGGAGGAAACTCTTGAGAGTCCCCTGGACTGCAAGGAGAACAATCCTGTCCATTCTGAAGGAAATCAACCCTGAGTGCTCACTGGAAGGACAGATCCTGAAGCTGAGGCTCCAATACTTTGGCCATCTCATGAGAAGAGAAGACTCCATGGAAAAGACTCTGATGTTGGGAAAGTATGAAGGCAAGAGGAGAAGGGGACGACAGAGGACAAGTTGGTTGGACAGTGTCATCGAAGCTACCAACATGAATTTGACCCAACTCCGGGAGGCAGTGGAAGACAGGAGGGCCTGGCGTGCTCTGGTCTATGGGGTCACGAAGAGTCAGACACAACTTAACAACTAAACAACAACATCTAGGAAGGACTGAAACCACTGTAAAACAGTATCTCCAAGACCCTTCCCAGAAAGACATCCCAGAAAAACATTATCATCAATGGTATTCAAAGACACAGAGAGGTCCAGCAGAACCAACAGGGACACACTCCCCCAATCCAGTTCCCAGCATAGGCAATCCACCAAGATGAGCAAAGCTACCTCTGTTCTGTAACCAGGCCTGAAGCCAGACTGTAATGGATCTAGATAATCCACTTTATCCAGCATCTTCTGGAGCTGGGACGTTACCACACACTCCAAAACCTTGCCCAGAAATGGAATACTGGGTACTGGCCAATCATTATCCAAGATAGTGGAATTCAAGGAGGGCCTTTTTAAGCAAACTGCATTGAGGCATTCACTAGTCCTCTAACCCAGTGGTCCCCAACCTTAGGTCT